GGACCAAAAAATGAGAACTTGAAATCATGCAAACCTCCTTCGCCAACCTATGTTGCCTGATCTAACCAAATTTATATTAATACTTTAATGTTAGTAATGAATACTAACATTTTAAGACCTGTTGCATACGTTGCATTTTGCACGCACCAAATACATTAAAGACAAAAGAAAATGATATAAAACTCTTCATTGTCTTTTGTTTTAAATACATTCAGCTTATGTAAAATGCTACGTTTGAAACGGGCATTTCTTTCATTGCATAAATGCAATTACCAAAATAACATACGCACATTGCAAAAGAATAAATATGATATATTCTTATACAAAGAGTCATTGAAAAGACCAAAATAGTCTGGAGTAGAATAGCTACAAAATAAAGTTTGACAATATTTCTGAACAGAGTTGATGCAATGCTGCAGAGGAACAATTTTTTAAACAATAATAAGTGGTCAATCAATTAATATGTTGTTTATAGTTCAACTGATTACCAGCTTTGCTTCAATAAGTAAAAAAGAGACGAACTTCTCGAGGAAGTTCATTGAAAGTGACCTTAACTCATCGAGAAAAATTTTTGTTTCAAATGGATAACCGGAAAATTTGCTAAAGAAACTTTTCTTATCCACTATAAACAACTAGATAACCTTCTGGACAGACCTAGTGCCTTGTATATGTTCCTTCATTAAACTTCCCTGGAGGTGGAACTAAAACTATCGCTGAGAGTTTATTTTTGCCTTCCATTTTTCTTTACATTTAAAAAAAAGTTTTTTTACCACCCATCTGCAAAAAAAATTTCAGCCTGCACAAGTATTAAGCAATTTCATAGCAGTTCAAATGTGAGTGTGATGCACGCTATGTAAGATAATTATAAAGCAACATTTACCTACTTCTATCAAGAATAACGCATTTTTTATAAAAAAAAAACGAAACGTGATTGTAGGAGTGGAAATATGATTTTATGTGGCTCAGAGATTTGAAAACATCTTTTAAGTAAAGCTCACTGTTCAAATTCATATTTCGAGCATAATTTCAAAGTTATTACAAAATGTGGCTCATTATTTCAGTTACGCGTCTGGGAGTTGGTATTAAATAAGTTGACTAAACCTGTTTTTGTATGAAGGTACTTGAGAATAGCTTACTTAGTAGTAATAGAACTATAATGTAAGAATGGTGCTTCGTATTCGCTTACGTTAGACATATAACTCGAAAATGCATATATAACTAAATTTTCAAAACATAACTTTTTTCTATAAGCAAAACGTTTTGTAACATATGCATGCAGTTCCAGTGTATTTAATCGTACAGTCTTAATAATGCTTATTAATTCTCAGCTAATACAAAAAAAAACTCTGAAATAGTGGGAGAACTTCACTTTATTTGTCCGTGTGCAAAGTTTGCAAAACCCTTTATTGGTTGATTAGAAAAGTATAGATTGAATGAATCTTCGGACAATAAAATTGTTACAAATAATAAATATTTTCATAGTGACAATTGTATAATTCCAACACTTTTGAAGTATATTTGCACGAAAAGGACAAAGCTAAAAAGCAAGTGGAACAGTTAGGGTTAAAACACGGTCGATGTTGTTCAACTAAACAAAATTACAAGAAAGTCGGCTTTAGACTAATACATGTACACAAACCCTGGGAATTAAAAATAAGAGCTTTTTTGTGTTTTCCAGCACATAAATGCCATTTTCAAAAAACCTTAAAAAATTATTTCTTGGTTTAAGCTCAAAATTTTAGATAGTAAGTTAACATTTACTTCATACCTTTACAAATTGGAATTTCCTGTGATTTGTGAATAAATAATTATTGTAATGTTGATTTCAAGGAACAATAATATGAAAATAAATTTGGAGTAACAAAATCTACAAGGCGCATATTTAACTACAACATAAAATAATACCAAACCATTTGCTCTGTTTTTTCCACAAACTGTCCTTGTACTCCTGGGCATGTGACCTGTATAGCCTGTCTAGACGGAGAAAGTAAAGCAAATAGAGTGTTGTGTACAAAGATTATATCATCGATTATATTCAATGACAGGATTCGATATTTTGGTACTTCCATCTTCCTTTGTAAATCCATTCATCAATAAGCGCAATATTGCGCCAATTTTTGACTGACTATATCAAAGTACGTAAACTATTAAAACTTTTCTTAAAGATAAATTAAGATCCAAATATAAAGACATTTCATTTAATGCCATAAGTCTTCATTATTTGAAATAACTGTCTACTTTATATATCAGTAAATAATTTCTACTTCTGTTCTAGTATAAAACATTAGGGAAGCTCATTGCATCACATTTTTAAAGACATAGTACTATGTAGAGTTAAAGCCATCTTAATAAAATTGTAAGCAACGACAAATTATTTAACAAATAACCCTTGTATGGTACACTGTTTAAAATACACAAATAAATTGAGACTTGTCAAGACAGTTCTAAAACGGCCAGAGAATTTCTAAGATAAAAAGAATAACCAAGATAATAAGCAATGGTCAAGACAGCAACAGTTATGAAGATAATAAAAATTTCTCATAAGTTAGTGTAAATCAGTAAGTGCTAAGTTATTTTATAAGGAGAACATTATCAATGAATATCATAACGGTCTTGCAGATAAGAATTTAACTAAGAATCCGATGTAAAGTTCAGCCAATAATTCTCCACTAAAACTACTTCGCTACTTCCAGCTTGTCATTTTTGCCCCAAGTAAATTATGATGTTTAGTAAAAAAATTAAAGTATTTGCATGAAACATACAAAAACAAGCTTTTTACCGTCCACATCACGCAGTGTCGCATTTTTCATGCTTGTTTCCCAACAACAGAAAATGTCAAGTGTTAAATTTAGTAGAAGAAAATGAAGAACTGAGACAACAAACTATTTGTATTTCGTTGAACAGATGGTATTACAAATCATAACAACTACATACAACAACTAATAATTTCTATATTAACTTGCATTCAAAGATTATAAGATAAGGCACTCTATTAATTATAAATTTGACGATAAAGTTAATATTCTAAATGAAACCTTTCAAGCGGAATATATATTAGGCATCATTAAGTTCTGAGAATTTTTTCATGCGTCAATTCTAGTTTTTTTTTGTATACAAGCATTAAATTTTTAAATACAGAAAAAAATAAGAAAATAAATGAAAGTTCTCACTTCTTAAGTAAAAAATTACGAGGTCGTATTTTCATGGAAGTGGATTTTAAGGAGTAGTATTGGCCTTTCCACCTATTCCAATTGATACCATCAGCATATGAGGAGTGTTTACCATGATGATAGATCCCGTTTAAATTAGACTCATGACACCCATTATACCACCATGCGCCTTTAAACAAGATTGCACAATGGTCATGGTATTTATCGTTGTCAGAGTCTTTTGTTGAAAATGCCATTCCTTGTTGGTAGTTCAACGAATCACCGGCAGTTCCTAAAAATGTGCACAGAATAATTCAGGTCATCATAAAGATAAAGTTGAGTCTAAAATGTATATTTCTTATGTAAAACTTTGAGTTTTAAAGCATTTTGCAATGTCTGATACAAATAGAAAATCATCTGATAGTATTATTTACTAGTTATTATGGAAGTGAATTTAACAAATTGTATTTTGATTTGTAAAATCTTAAAAATCTAAATTGTTTATGTAACACTGCTGCAGGCGCTTTAGTTTTTTAAAAAGTTTAACGTTTGACAATATTGATTTCGTTTGAAGTGGTATGGAGATAAATTTCAGCCTTTTCTTTTAATCCAAAAGTTTCTGATCACCTAAGAAATGAGTGAAATTTTTCGTAGTATTACAGGCAAAATAACTTGAAGTGTTGAATGATAAACTGAAAACAACAAAAAAGTTTAAAGTCTGGAGAAAAGATATACTTTAGGAAGCCTCGGTCATGTTTAAAATCCACAAAACTCTTTTTTCCTTACTTTCATTCGACTACTGGATACCTATAAGCATTTTGTACCTGAATATGTTCCAAAGTCCAACTTGTATTTCTGTCTTTCACTTGCAACAGAAAAGAAATCATATTCGGCGTATCTTGTGTTTCCTGTAAAGTCTTCCATGTCAATCCGAAGTTTCTTGTGTTTTCTAGATGTAAGTCTATTTATTTTATCTAATCCAAGCCAAAACTCTGATTTTAGATTTCCAAAGCCATTTTTATAATCTTGCCATCCTCTGTAGAAATTAACACTACCATCAAGACGACGTTGAAACACGGTCCAGCCACCACCAGATGTTTTCATGTCACACCATACATCAAAACTGCCTCGATTGTCCGGATCAATCTTGTAGATTCCGCTTTTTCTTTTAGAATTCTTGTAAAGCTCTGAGCAATCTTCCATGAAATTACGAGGTCGTATTTTCATGGAAGTGGATTTTAAGGAGTAGTATTGGCCTTTCCACCTATTCCAATTGATACCATCAGCATATGAGGAGTGTTTACCATGATGATAGATCCCGTTTAAATTAGAAGCATGACAACTTTTATACCACCATGCGGCTTTATACAAGCTTGCACAATTGCCAAGTTTTTTATCGTTGTCAGAGTCTTTTGTAGAAAATGCCATTCCTTTATGGGGAGTGAACGAATCACCGGCAGTTCCTAAAAATGTGCACAGAATAATTCAGGTCATCATAAAGATAAAGTTGAGTCTAAAATGTTTATTTTTTATGCAAAACATTGAGTTGTAAAGCATTTTGCAATGTCTGATAGAAATAGACAATCATCTGATAGTATTATTTACTAGTTATTATGTGAGTGAATTTAACAAATTGTATTTTGATTTGTAAAATCTTAAAAATCTAAATTGTTTATGTAACACTGTTGCAAGCGCTTTAGTTTTTTAAAAAGATTAACATTTGACAATATTGCTTTCGTTTGAAGTGGTATGGAGATAAATTTCAGCCTTTTCTTTTAATCCAAAAGTTTCTGATCACCTAAGAAATGAGTGAAATTTTTCGTAGTATTGCAGGCAAAATAACTTGAAGTGTTGAATGATAAACTGAAAACAACAAGAAAGTTTAAAGTCTGGAGAAAAGATATACTTTAGGAAGCCTCGGTCACGTTTAAAATTCACAAAACTTTTTTTCCTTAATTTCATTAGACTACTGGATATCTGTCAGCATTTTGTACCTGAATATGTTCTAAGGTCCAACTTGTATTTCAGCCTTTCACTTGCAATAGAAAAGAAATCATATTCGGCGTATCTCGTGTTTCCTGTAAAGTCTTCCATGTCAATCCGAAGTTTCTTGTCTTTTCTAGATGTAAGTCTATTTATTTTATCTAATCCAAGCCAAAACTCTGATTTTAGATTTCCAAAGCCTTTTTTGTAATCTTTCCATCCTCTGTAGAAATTAACACTACCATCAAGACGACGTTGAAACACGGTCCAGCCACCTCCAGATGTCTTCATGTCACACCATACATTAAAACTGCCTCGATTGTCCGGATCAATCTTGTAGATTCCGCTTTTTCTTTTAGAATTCTTGTAAAGCTCTGAGCAATCTTCCATGAAATTACGAGGTCGTATTTTCATGGAAGTGGATTTTAAGGAGTAGTATTGGCCTTTCCACCTATTCCAATTGATACCATCAGCATATGAGGAGTGTTTACCATGATGATAGATCCCGTTTAAATTAGAAGCATGACAACTTTTATACCACCATGCGGCTTTATACAAGCTTGCACAATTGCCAAGTTTTTTATCGTTGTCAGAGTCTTTTGTAGAAAATGCCATTCCTTTATGGGGAGTGAACGAATCACCGGCAGTTCCTAAAAATGTGCACAGAATAATTCAGGTCATCATAAAGATAAAGTTGAGTCTAAAATGTTTATTTTTTATGCAAAACATTGAGTTGTAAAGCATTTTGCAATGTCTGATAGAAATAGACAATCATCTGATAGTATTATTTACTAGTTATTATGTGAATGAATTTAACAAATTGTATTTTGATTTGTAAAATCTTAAAAATCTAAATTGTTTATGTAACACTGTTGCAAGCGCTTTAGTTTTTTAAAAAGATTAACATTTGACAATATTGCTTTCGTTTGAAGTGGTATGGAGATAAATTTCAGCCTTTTCTTTTAATCCAAAAGTTTCTGATCAACTAAGAAATGAGTGAAATTTTTCGTAATATTACAGGCAAAATAACTTGAAGTGTTGAATGATAAACTGAAAACAACAAAAAAAGTTTAAAGTCTGGAGAAAAGATATACTTTAGGAAGCCACGGTCATGTTTAAAATTCACAAAACTTCTTTTTCCTTAATTTCATTCGACCACTGGATACCTATCAGCATTTTGTACCTGAATATGTTCCAAGGTCCAACTTGTATTTCTGCCCTTCACTTGCAACTAAAAAGATATGATATTCGGCGTATGCTGTGTTTCCTGTAAAGTCTTCCATGTCAATCCGAAGCCTATTCTTTTTTCTAGAAGTAAGTCTATTTATTTTATCTAATCCAAGCCAAAACTCTGATGTTAGATTTCCAAAGCCATTTTTGTAATCTTGCCATCCTCTGTAGAAATTAACACTACCATCAAGACGACGTTGAAACACGGTCCAGCCACCTCCAGATGTCTTCATGTCACACCATACATTAAAACTGCCTCGATTGTCCGGATCAATCTTGTAGATTCCGCTTTTTCTTTTACCTTTCTTGTAAAGCACGGAGCAATCTTTGACTAGGAAAAAAAACATATTCACAATTTAAGAAATTTGACATGTTTTCTTTTTCGCACGTTAAATGCATTCAAAACATGAAAAAAGCAATTTTTCGTTGTTCACATGATTGCGAGTTTCATTCAACTGCCTAGCAGTTTAAAGCTGTTCATAAAATTAATATCGAAGCTAAGGGGAAACGAGAATTGGTTTGGATTAAAAATTGACCATTGTATTTTAAAGAACATTTAGAGTAACCTTTTCAGAGGATTTTTGTTCGTTGAAGCTTGCAAGATATTTTATGACGTTTGAGGCTTTTGAATAGAATAACTCTAAATTTTTGAAATTTTATGAATGCTCGTTAAGTCTTACGTTATGTAAGGTTAAGTGAACGACTTTTGGCTTTCAAAACAAGGTTTTCATTTTTTAAAGACCATATTTCTGCTGATCTTTAGTTGCAATTTACTTTTTTGTCAATTAAGCCAATAAGCATTACAATAAACTGGTTTCGAGTTTAATAAATCTTTCTTTAGTTAAGGATAAGCTTGCAGAAAAAGCGTTTGTGGATGTTTTGCAATTATTGTAATGTTTTAAACAATAATGTAAATCATTTGGTGTTTCAAAAATGATCTTATGTGCAGTTAAAGAAAAAGCAAATAATTAACTGTAAGACCTGGTTTCAAAATTTTTTTGAATTGCTGTTACACATACTTAAATGTAACAAAAATTCAGTGATCGTGTCGACATTTACAGAAATCATTATAAGACTTTGTAGTTAATTAACCCTTTAAGTAAAAACTTCAGAATTAAGGGTGAAAATTTTCTCTTGCAAAATAATGTTTGTTTTATGTACATTTAATGCTAGTAATAAAAGAAATTAGTACTAATTTGTTTTAGATGGGGGGGATACGATTTGTTGTTGGTTTTCATCATAGCCGCTTAGTGGTATAGATGTTATAAAATTTAGTATTATAACACTTTATTTGTATGCTTTTTTAATTTTTAACTTTAATAACAAGTTATATAAATATTTTATTTAGAATATGACTGTATAAACATAATTTTTCATGTTTAAAAATAGTTACAATAAACTAATGTGGAGAATCATGTCTATTTACGAAGGTACTGAAAAAAACTTTTTTTCCTTCTGACGTAATATAAGGAAGCTTGCCATTAAACTGACGCCAAATTTTTAAAATTAATTTTACCAAATTGTACCTAACTGCATTGCAGTAAAACCTTTCAATTTAGCCAAGTGGTTAATTTTTGTGGCCAAACAACTATGCGGGCTTTATTCTTATTCGTTCGCTAGTTTTAATTATAATAGCAAACAAAGAAAGAGCAAAGGTTGTATGTATGAAATGATGAAGATATGAATCCGCAATCGTCTTCCCAATCCGCCACTATTGAAGTTTCATCAAAAACTACTTGAATTTTGCTCTGAAGTAACAGGCTTAGAATATATTTAAGAACCAAGCAATTTGGCTGATGGCTTCGTCAGACTATTTAGTACTGACGTAGCAAGTGCAAAATTTAAAGTTTGTTTTGAAATAAAGAATTACTCATTGCGATTTGCAGCATCAGAACATAAATATACATCAGAAAACTAACTCTTTTTGGGATTACGAACTCTGGTAACTAGAGTAAAGACATTTATGGATAGAATAATGTTAACTGCAGACACTCAAAAAGAACAAAAACTGACTTTGGGAGTTTTCAGTTCATTTTCTTTGTTTATTCCCAGCAAGTTGTCCCTATTTCCCCATGTGGAGGGAGTACTGAAGGTCCTCACATGGAGACTATAATCCCCATGGACTCATCTGACGCCACTCCTAACTCAAAGCATGATAATTAGGCACTTTACCACCTACTCTACTGTACATATTATAGTAGTAGTTTTAATTGTATGCATTTGCAATTTTATTGTTTTAAGTTAAATGTGCTCGTCATGTTTTCATTGTAAAGTGAAAACTTATCAGGGAAGGCAAAAAGGTAGCAAATATCAAACAAATTTTACTGTTTCAAGAAATCGAGAAACAAACGAGAAATCTTGTATACGTAAGTAACTGCGAGAAACTGGTAAATTTTTGACCATGTTATAAAAGCCGACCAATTGTAAAATCTTCTTGGGCGAAGTTAACGATTTAAATTATTAAAAAAAATTGATAAAAAAAATTTTATAAGTACAATATCAAAAAGTTTTTGGACAATTAGACTCTATTTTACTTTCATGAGTCTAAAAAACTTTTTATTTAGACCAGTCCTTATTTCTTTATGTAATATAAATAACGTCTTAACCCTTTAACCTGCGAATTTTCCCCAATGGTTTTCCATTCAATCATTTGATTTTATTGCCATATGACAACACCGCCCCATAACTTGTTGAAACAAGCAAAAAATAAACAGTAAACATTAAATTGTTCACATAGACTCTTCGTTTAGAACGTGTTAATCTTTATCGTATTTTTAAAATAATTGTCTTTTAATTATTGAGAAATACGTTTCTAATGCTCACTAGGCATGGCTTTTGCTAAACCTTAACAGTCAATAAAAACGAATTTAGAAGTGAATTTTTAAGATAGACAGCACGCCATTACAAGACATAAAGTTACACTGCAATGTAAATTTAGAGATAGTCTTTTAAATATAAAAAAAAATCAATGTAGCCTCATAAACTACAGCCTACAGCTTCAAAAAGCTATAATGAATGTAAACTATCGTAACAAAACTGATAATATAAGGATTATCACATTCCTCCACGAAAAATATGGTCAATGGGCTGCCCTTTTTCTCTAGTCTTATCTAATCTTTTTATGGGCAGTCATAAAATAGGGTTGACAGAGTTGACAACTGATAAAAAAAGAAGCGTATTGATATTGCGATCTATAGAAATATCAAATCGAAAATATTCAAGGTTGCATGTACATATAAATATTCCAATATTATAAGTTGGTAGTTCTTAAAAGAACTGTTTTATATAAAGAGCACTAACCCAATAGTTCTAAATTAAATGACACGATGCATTTCCGCAGACTAATCCTCAGGTGTCAACGTCTACTAAATGAAAACTTACAATCTATCGATATTTTTAATACCAAGAAAGAGTGTACGTCATCTCCAAAAGGGGAGATGACGCTCAAAACAAAGACAAATTAAAAACATAATCTTTTTGTCGGCAGAGGACGGGATTGGTTTGCTTAATTAAAACATCCTCCATAATGCGTAACTGAAAGAATCAAATGCATTTTCTAATGATTCTAAAATTGTCGTCTAAATAAGAATCAGCACAATGGGAGTTATTCAAGTGATGTTTACCTATCGCGGAGTCACATGAAACTAAATTACTTTTCTTACAAACACGTTCTGTTTGTTGTCTTGAGGGGACCGTTCCATTTCTGATTGAAGTTGGTACATGCTGTTTGATCTTATCACCTAAACTTTGAGACGTTCTACATGCATAGCGAGCATCACACTCACATTTATTCATAAATTACATTGCTTAAAAGTTTTTTAGAGATTTTTTTGGGTGGGTGGTAGAATAGTTCTATTCAAAAATATAAAGATAACATTGCTCGCAAAGAAACAAATTATCAATGATATTTTTAGTTTCCCTTTCAATATCATCAGAAGTCTTACCCATCCATAGAAGTTTGATAAACACAGGGCGCATAGCTGGTCCAAAAGGCTTGAACATGAGTCAAATTGTCAGTTAGCGTTTTTGGATGTTCTTGTCCATAAACGCAATGGTCAATTCCTCACAAGCATTAATAGCAAGGCATCTTGTTCGGGTTTGTACACACGCTTTGACTGTTTTTCTTCACACAGAGAGAAAATTTCTTTAGTGAAGTGTTTAATATAATGAACGCTTAGACTGTCATCGCAGGAGTTCATTGAGAGTGATCTCAACTCATTGAAAAAAATGTTTCTCTCAATTGGATATCCGGAAAAAATGCTTCATAAACTTTTCTCATCCACAAAAAAAAATGAGCAGAACAGGCATTTTGGACCAGCTAAGTGCCCTGTGTTGATCAAACTTCCATGGATGGGTAAGGTTTCTGATGATATTGAAAGGAAAACTAAGAATGTTATGGATAATTTGTTTTTTGCGATCAATGTTATCTTTATATTTTCGAAAAGAACTATTCTACCACCCACACCAAAAAAGTCTCTACCGACACAACTTTTAGGCAATGAAATTTATGAATATAAATGTGAGTGTAATGCTCGCTATATTGGTAGAGCGTCTCAAAGGTTAGGTGATAGGATCAAACAGCATGTACCAACTTCAATGAGAAATGGAATGGTCCCCTCAAGACAACAAACAGAACAGTTTGAAAGAAAAGTAATTTAGTTTCATGTGACTCCGCGATAGGTAAACATCACTTGAATATCTCCCATTGTGCTGATTCTTATTCAGAGGACAATTTTAAAATCATTAAGAAATGCCGTTGATTCTTTCAGTTACGCGTAATGGGGGTTGTTTTAATTAAGCAAAACAATCCCGTCTTCTGCCGACAAAAGGATTATGTTTTTATATATGCGTGAATATTCATGTTTTGTGACCTAATGTGCTCAACAGTAGGTAGTGACCGACAAAGAAGTTATGTAAATAGGAATGGCCAAGAAAGTACGGCATTTTAATTATTGCTTAAAGGCAGGTCTTTTAAATTTATATAAGTTTGAGGAAGCTTCATGTAAGGTTTCATGTTTGACACATTTACTCGAGCAAAGGCTATTACTAAACATAACTCTCGATTATTTTTGGTATTAAAGTGACCACTTCCTATATTTTAGTTCTTTATTGCGGTGACATCTTCAAGTATGAACCAAGATACACTAGCATTTTTTCAGATTGGCCAAATTTGGTACCACCTTAATATTAGTTGAATATGTTAAACTATTTTTGGCGATAACACAATTTTTTGTCTTTATGCCATTAACATTTCATCATTAGCTGCAAATAATTGACAATTTTTATTACCTATATAACTTTTCAATATCTTTCACATTGAGAGTTAACATGCAGATGTTTGTAGCTCTGCATTTAAAAGTTTGAATTTTTATATTTTAAAAGTTTGAAGAGAATGTTCCTTGCGTCATGGATTATCTTATATGCATCTTTATTCTCATTTTCAAAGTTCACAAAAATATTAACTTCTAGAAAAAGTGACATACGATCTACGATTATGGAAAGAGGAAAAACTTAAGTGACTTTTACAGCTTTCTAAAAATCGGTTAGCTCATTAGAGGGTAAAGGATAACAGTTAATGGTTTTTCTTGGTAAAAATCCTTTAAGCAGTATAATTTTAATCATCATAGAGAAAATAAGAGAATTAGATAAAGGACATATATTACTGTATATAGCTTCTCTAAATTAACATTATGACCGTAAGTGTCTTAGAGTGATCAACCAGCTATCTGCTTATTATTTTACTGCTCTCTTTTTAAAAACTAGTACGGAAGAATTAAATAATGGATCTTGCAAACACAACATTGTAGTCTGTCTCACCATTTTGCAATGATTTCGGATGTTTTTATTTCAAATGTTTTTTCAATGGTTTAAAAAATAAGAGCAAGTCTAACAAAGCAAATATGATTGAAATTTTGAACATTTAGCTCATCCAGAATGACAGAGTAAAAATTATGTTTAAATAGAGCAGGATTCTTTAAAATGTGGGCGTGTTAGCTTCAGCCTACATAGCCTAATGATTAATTGGACACTACCCATACTTGTCAATTCTTGGAATAAGTTTATAAAGCTACAATATCATTGGTTTAAGAAATTTATGTAATATTTTTTAAGTGCGCTCATTCTAGGAGGTCTGGAAACTTGTCGGTCAAAATGCTTCTTATAGTTTGGATTTACAGAATTCCTAGTTCAAGAAACCAACCCATAATAAAGTCAAAACTATTTAATATAGTGTATCTAGGTTAGCAGGGCCATAGCTAGATTATTAACGGCAGGACGAGTGGTAGCCCTAACCCTAAGCCTAAACCTACCCCCTCCCTTATATAGATAAAATCAAAATGTGTTGATGTTAACATATGTCTCTGAAGATGACTACCGCTAAGGTTGTCGAAACGTCAGTCAGCAACAACAAAAACATTCCATCTCAGGACTATACCAACCTGGACGATCTACATTTACAAATATTTAACATATGCTATATCATTTAGAGAACCATATTCTTCCAATTTAGTGTGCTGAGGGAGTTTTAAGTGTATTGAACTTTTCATAAATTTATTACTGATTTCCTGCTTGATTTTATTAATAATGATGAACTTGTATGTGTGGCTGTGAGCCTTATTTTTTTGGTTTCATGTAAAATGTACATGTAGCAAATTCCTTGCGCAATAGCAACTGCACAGAGAATTCTTCAGATTTCTCATTAGAGCAAAGTTTTAAAACTGCACAGAGATGCTCTTTATTCATGATCCGTGATTAAAAGATCTTGAAGAAGACACTAATACATCCATACCTTGGCAAGAGTTACATTCTCCTGGGTATCCTTTCATACACGTGCAGTTCAATGTTCCATTAATTTTACGATAGTATGTGTAGGGTCCACATAAAGGAAAGCGAGAAGTGTTTGTCGCTATAAATATTAATAACATTAAAAATAAAATCAACCAGAGATTTTAAACGGAACATATTCTTCCTTAAAGAACACAATTTGTCACTCAGTATCCACTATGACGTACCTAGCTAGCAAGTTTGCTATGTAATGTTGGTATCTTTGGTGTTCGCGAATATCGTAAAAACAAAACAATTAAATAAACGTTGAAACTTTACAGAGTATGAACAAATTTGCTGGCTCTTTGGGATACTAAAATAAGTTAGATAATTGAAAAATGTTCAGAAAATTATCAATTCATCAATAGTTCTCGCCAAATGTGTCAAAGCTCATATATTTTGGCATTGCCTTGTCTTGTTTATTTAAAAGTAAAATGAATTAAAATTTAATCTCGAAAACCATGAGAGTACTTCGTAATTGTCTCAATTTGAATTGTATGCACAAAGAAAATGAAAAGTTTCAAATCTAGTTTAATTAAAGATTTAAAAGTTTGAACTCTGTTTTGCAATGTACTAAAACTTTAGAAAATTTGATAATATTAAGCTCACTGCACAACATACTCAAATTGGATGTTTTTGTCTTTCAACCTATATTCATGAATTTTTTTCTTATTTAGGACTGATTACAAGCCAGAGTGATTATTGAAATGATGTAAGAAACAATAAAGACTTAAATTTAACACCCAAGAAGTTTGGCAAGAATAGACAAACGGCAAAAACGTCCAAATTAGACACTTTGCACTTTGAACTTAATGTTTTTTTATAATTTTATAACGTAATTTTCTATAATTTTGGAAGGAAGAACAACCGTTTACTAAGGCAATGTACATTTGAACTTTTTAACGTCTTCCTATTTTATGAACATTAGCGTGGGAGTTTTTGCAAGTCTTAGATTATTATGTCAAAAAGTAAATATTTAACTACCGTTTGAGTCAGGAGTGATACTGTGTATAGCTACAGCCAAATCAAGATAACCATTGTTTACAGGAAGAGAAAATTTACGTCTCGTTCGTTGATCTGTTGTGTTATGGACACTAACGACACTTTGTCCGACACTAGTCATGATATAAATGAAATCCCCAAATACTGCCATGGGACGTCCTGAAGTTCCAAAATCAATTACATTGTGGGAGTAGTAATCACAAGAAAACATTTCCGTTTGAAACTCGCCAATAAATCTTCTCTTTAGCCATGTCAAGCGTTAGGTCATGTGCTATTGACTGAAGTGAAACTGAAAGAATATGATGTTTATTTGCAGTCATGTTCCATAACCATAAGAAAACTTCTGTACTTTCTGCCAAGAATAGATACCTTAATAAAAATATTTGTTTTGTACATTAGTTTTCTCTATACGTACTGAGCAGTGGTGTGGGGCAGGGGGGGGAGGTGGCAGGGCCAGGGCCCCCTAGCTGTTGATTTTGGGGGGCGCTGAATGGAATACGAGTCATCAAGTTTTAAAAATGGGATATAAAAAATTAAGAACGCATTTGAAACAGTAACAGTTATTTTCGCAGTTATATATTCAGTGAATGAAGTTAACTTTAGGGAACTAGGGAAAAAGTAGACAGACCAAAATGAAACCTTGTAAGGGGGTCGATTAAAGAATAAGATATTGACGAACATTCTATAATTAGATGTTTCGTTTGTGGCCACAACGCCTGCATGATTTGTCACGATGACGGTAGACAACATACATGCAGGGGAGAAACTAGAAGTCTAATTGGGGTGAATATTCATATATTCAGCTTTGCCCTGTTGATTTCTATTGAATTTAACATCGCCAACAAATGATAACAGCCCTTAATGATACCGCAGCATGTACTGCATTGTTTGTATTGTGTTATTTACATTTTCATCATTACGACGATTCATTTGTCATTTTCAGTAGTAAAGCAAGTTATTATACGGTAAAACTTTTTTAAATCACTTAAAGCTTCTTCGTAAATGTTCAAGATTCATTTATCCGCAGTTATCGAATGTGCATTACAGCATATATTTAATTGAAATTAAGATATTTTTTAAACAACAACATTTGAAGACCAATTAAATTAATGTCTCAAAATGCAAAACTCTCATTTTGAACAGATATAATACCGATGTAATTCACACAACAAACATTTCATTTGATAATTCCACTTGTGTTGGGAAGTCTATTTTAATATTATTTAATGTACATCATGGATCATGGTGCAATGTTAAAGACTAACTGCAATGTCTAATTCTTTCAACACTACAAAGAGAAAAAAGTCGGGTGCTGAGTATCGAAGATTAAAGAAAGCTAGACAAGAAGAATTTTCAAAACTTGGGGGAGTTTTGCTTGATTACTTTAAACCTATACAAAATGACCCACCATGCATTTTGTCACAAACAACAGAGGAGTTAGAATTAAAACTCAGTGAAACGCCGAACATCAGTGAAGACCTTAAAAAAGTGCATGCGCGAGAAAAATCTGAGTCGACAGATGTAAACGATCAACATGAGCATACTTTCAAATGAATCAAAAGCAGTGATTCTGTTGGTGAATGATATGATATTGACAGCTTTGTCAATTCAAATGAACGTAAGGAAGGCGAAGGCATCTCAGAATCTGCTGCAAATGAATTGAATTGAAATAATTCTATTGATACGAAAGAAAACACGTTTGGTCCTGAAACAGTTGTTGATCTTAATCTCAGCATTAGCGAAAAAAGGCGTTTACTTAAAATGAATCCATGCCAACCATCCCAGTTTATTTTGAAACAAAGGAGGATAGTACAAAGAGATCACACTCGCTATTGCTCCCAGCAGGTTTTTTTCCACGATGATGGAACAAGACGAAAATGGATTTCCTATTCACTAAGTGAAGACAGCTTGTTTTGCATACCATGCATTCTGTTTACAGATGTAACGTCTTGGGGAGAAAATATTCGGTCAAATCAAGGAAAAGCTTTTGCAAACATTGGTTTCTCCAAATGGAAAAAGCAGTATATTAGAATTCTGGAGCATGAAAAATGCAATTCTCATCTAAACGCAAAAGTTGCAGAAGCTCTTTTCCTTCAAGAAAACTCAATATCGGATCAGTTTCATCACCAGGGGAAAATCGAGTCTGAAAGACGTAAAAAGGAAGTTGTTTTAAACAAAACAGTTTTGAAACGTGTGATAGATGTTATTATGTTTCTTGAAAGACAAGGGCTTTCCTTTAGGGGTCACTGTGAATCACTGACAAATTTCTATGTTAATACAGGAAACTTTTTGGAAACGCTTAAATTTATTTCAGAGTACCATCAACCAATCAATGAGCATCTTGAGAAAGTTTGTGATCACCAAGTGAAGCAATCGACAAAGGATGGTGGTAAAACTGATGAAAAAGGAATCAAAGGACGTGGCTCATGGCTAACGTTTTTGAGCAACGATATTCAAAATAAGTTAATCAATATCATTGGTAAAGAAATATCTTCTGCAATTGTACAAAAAATATGCAACTGCAAAGCATGGGCATTGATTGCTGATACAACACCGATATAACTCATACAGAGCAATTGAGTATATGCGTAAGGCTTGTTAATGAAACTGGCGAGTGTTCTGAACACGTTTTGTCATGCCAAAAAGCAATTGGAACAACTGCACATGACCTATACACTGCTATTACAACAATATATTACAATTGCAATATATTACAATTGCATGGAGTTTCATTTGAAAAACTTGTTGCCCAAACGTATGACGGAGCATCTACTATGAGCGGATGTTATAATGGTTCGCAGGCAATTGTAAAAGAGAAAATCGGAAACCACATCATATTTGTTCACTGCTATGCGCATACGCTAAATCTCGTCTTGTCCGATTCAGCTTGTGTTGCTATTGATGTCATTACTCTTTTTGACTCTCTCGAAAAACTGCACGTTCTCTTTAATAATTCTCATAAAGTACACGAATTGTTTCAATTGGTTCAAAAGAATGAAAACCTCAAATTTTTTTCGATTAAACGTCTTAATACAGTTCGATAGAATGCAAGAGAATTTTGTCCAAACATATTTCTTTTGAGATTCGAGTGCATAATGCGAGTGCTCCAAAAAGTAGCTGAGGAAAGATCGTTCACTGAAAGTCAGCGATTAACAGCAAATGGATTGCAAGCAGCTTTTCAGACAAAGCAATTTGTTGCGACTGCCTGTCTTTTCCAAGAAATTTTTGGAATTACTGGACCTTTCAATCGATATCTGCAAAGCGTAAATGCTGACTTTGGAAAAGCAATGGATATGGTTGATAGCTCAATTTCTAGAATTCAGATCATATGTGACAAACCAGAAAAAATCATTGAAATGTCCGATTCTTTTGCGTTAGATGTCGAATGGAGGTCTACACGACCTCGTCGTCGACGACCAATGGACGAAGAACAAGCCAGAGATGATTTGGCAGATTCACCAAAAGCACAATGGAGGCGAGACTCATTTTATAAAGTGCTAGATTCCATTCAATCTTCAATAAAGAATCGACCACTAATGAAATCATTTGCTTTATTCGCACCCAATCAACTTGACGAGCTCTCGAGCAAGTACAAGACATCTCACGATCTTCAATCTGCAGTGAAAGCCTTTTGTGATGTATATAAGATAGATTCCCAAAGATGCGCTACTGAACTGTTAAGCTTTGCAGAAACATTTAAAAAATTTCCCTGTTCTCAGTTTACAACTCAAAGTGACCATGATCATAATGAGCAGAACTTTGAAACTATTGATGATGGTGATGGTGATGATGAAAATCATTCTGATACTGACATAAGTAAGCATTCGAATAATGCGTCAATTACCGAGAAGGCTAAAACTCCGTCATTCTTAGATGCCTTGAAGCTGCTTTGTTTTCCAAAGTACCATTTAGTCGACGCATACCCAACATTATGCAAAGTTTATTCAATTGCAGTGGCCATACCCATTAGCTCAGAAACTGCTGAACGTTCTTTTTCTTCACTGAAGAGAGTAAAATCGAGGATTCGATCTACGATGGTACAGGAACGCCTGGAATCATTGCTTTTAATGAAGGTTGAAAGGGAAACTCTCCTTTCTATCGACAAAGATAGAATCATAACTTTACTAGGGAAAACCTCCCCAACGCTTGCGAAGGCATTAATATAAATATATTTTTCTATGAAAACAAAAACGTAACAGACATATAATTGCTTAATGAAACTTGGTTTTTAAGTTACTTTGTTTTTATGAAAATTCATGTTGGTGTTTTAAAAAATAAAAATAACTAAAATACTTGAAAATAGCTATAAGAAAAGGTGAAAGGTGCGCAAAATTTGTGTTGGCCCCCGCAGTAAAAACTATGCCACCACGCCACTGGTACTGAGATACATAAACAATAAACAGGCTAATACATGCAAGAAAGGAAAGATAGAATTTTTTTTTAATTTAGACAAAGATGTTGTCAAAGTATTCAGAACTACCTTCATATATAGACTGTTCAATGTAACATATTCATGAAATTTGATAATATAGCAACATAAAGCTATTGTAACTAACAAGAAAAGATCATCTTTATCGTTTGAAATCTCTCTTTTAAAAACCGAACTAAAATATATGAAGTAATCAAACATTGCATGTGATTCAGAGCATAATAAATGTAATATGTTATTTTTATTCACATAATTATAAGATTGGTATTGTCTGAGATTATGGTCGGAATGAGTAATGCTGTAGTTTGGAGTGGCTGCCGAATGAATTGTGTTGGTAATTGATAATGCTAAAAATTAGCTGATGGGTGGAAATTTTGTTCGAATTGAAAATTTGGTGTTGGTAAATGATATGCACCATTTAATGTAGATATAAAGTTGAGAAAGCTTTGTCATTTTAATTTCAAGCTTTCTTAATTTTTCAGTTTCATATTGCATGAAAAGTAGCAGCTCTTTGGATGGATCATTGTCTATAAATGTCTTTAAAAGAGCTATAGCTTCACAAACATTGTCTTTTGTTGATACTTTTTTCCAAATTGTTTGGACAAACGATTTTTTACAACAATCTTAACTTTTTCTTTTTATTTGTTAAATTTTTTTATTGTTTTTCTGAAAAATCAGAAAAAGATTGACACTGGAGCTAGCGCTATTGGTATCATTTGAAAATGTTGATTCTATCGCCATGTCATGTTCGTATTTTTAAGAATCTCTTGATTAGAAAAGCTGCAAAAACTGCTTGAACACTATGGCCTTTACTTTATCGAAAATGTTTGGTGCAACAAGCAGTTTTGATTATCATCGCATCATATTTGCATTCTCCAATACATTTCTAAATTATATTATGCATTTGAGTAACAATAAAGTCCATGTCTTCTTGTCGTTCATTTTACCTTTCCCCGAACTCTTTAAAAACTTTCTCGTATATACTACCGTTCTTTTGATTTTTGTGTTCGTGAAAATTAATTTTTACTTGTAATATGATAAAAATTAATGCCCAAGTTATATTTTATAATGAGGTGTTAAGACAAGATATTGTATTAACAAAAGGTGTTAAATTGCGACTTAAGAGGCTGTGTTAAATGGAATATTTGATAAAAAAGTTGGCAAGTAAAATCTACTGAAGCTTAGAGAGGTTAAGTGGAATGGAACTTTCTTGAACGATGAGTGAAGACTTGTATTTATTGATAAGAAAGCTCTCATGAATGGAGAGTTCATAGGATTCGTTAGAAGAGGAATTTTTTTTAAATTCGTAAAATATTTATAACATATTCAGAAAGTCCTCGCTTCACAGGCTTTTCAGTCAATTTCTTTTAATCTCTAACTTGGTTGTTATCTTCAGATTCATCATCAGTTGAGCAACTACAGATCTAACGCTTGCCCAAATAACACTAAGAACCACTGCTTGAACTAAAGGTAGTGGAATGATTTTCAATTCTGGTGATTTGATTGGATGTGTGATTGGATTTATTGAAGGGTAGTGTGCAGACACTTAATTTGCAGCTCTTGACTTTTCAATATACTCCGCCGTTCAATGCAAGTAAAAAGAAGGCTTGAAAAACTTGATATATTGATTTTTTTTTAAATTGCCACATTTTTTGAAAACTAAAATGTTTTTTTATATTTTTGATGTAACTACGTGTGAATGTTTGCAGTTTTTTTATCTTCAATAAAAAACGAAAAGTTGAAGATTTTTCGTTCACCACCTTCGTGAATTTTTTAAAACTTTATTGCCATTTCGTATTGAGATTGTTGCACATCTCTTACACTGCCTAAAAAAGGGTTAAAGTATATGAAAGGGCACAGCAAAGCAACAAACAATGCTCCCAATCTGTTGAAATCTTTTGTGTAGGGCATATCTTATTAAGCATATGATTACCATGAAGGCGTCAAGCAAATTGCATTTTCTTATAAACAAAAGCGCTCTTAGGTGGCCAGCCGAACCCAGTAATCTTATTAAATGTACAACAACAAGTTGCACAGTGAAATTGGACTACTTTTTGTTTGTAGGTTGTGGCAAACCAATGTTCTGTGAGCATTTGACTAAAGTTTCATCGGTAAAGTAATTATTTAATACTTTATCGCAGTTTCTACCTCTCTGTTTCATTTCATTTAACGACTTCATCAATTATAAACATTGTTTTCTCCGTTGTTACATTTTTGTCAAAGCTCTTTAGTTGCTCAACATAAATATCGCTGTCGATTTTGCAATTTCAGGATCTGCTTGTTCTTTCTACTGCGTGTGTGCTGAATAATCACACGAACTGAGCTTATCCTTGCAGTTGATTTGAAATTTCTCATATTCACGCAATAAAATTTTGCTCGCCAAATCTCCTTGATTTTATTGAAAAGCTGTCGTTTGTTTCTTTATACACAAAAAAAAAATACTTAATATTCGCTCCCTCGGAAAAAAGGGAGATTTTTTTTCCTCGAAAATCAATATTTTTCCTATTCTTGTACTTTTAAATAACAGGCCATAATACGGACTTCAAAAATTCAACTTTTCTATTAAACTAAAATGCCGTTTCTAAAAACAAAAAACTCTTACCTTACTGAAGAAAAACCTCCAATAGACTGACATAGTTTCATAATTTTGCGTTAACCAGTTAATAAAAAATATTCAGTATAGCCTTACCCATGTTTTGAGTCAAATGCAATGCTCGAAAATTGAAAGCCTGGTTGAAGCCTCATAAAACTTGTAATTTTCGTTTTCAAACAAATTTGGTAGATAATGTTCGTGGAGTCAATGTAAAAGATACGACGACCAATCCAGTCAACTGTAATGTCACGAACAGAAACATTTTTTGCAAAAATTTCGTTTCTAGTCAAGTCAAAATTTCCCCGTTTGATGTCTTTGTCATCAATGTAGTAAAGCACATTCTCAACTACATCAATTTCGATGTCAATATATCTTGATGCATTGTCAAATTTATTCTTACTGGATCCATTAATAGCGCTGACATGAATATCTCCAGTAATAGAATCAACAGAGTACATTTTATCAAAGCTCATAATAATGAAATATGGCTTTGGATAAACATCTAAATAAACAATAAAAAAAACTATAAATAACAACGACGCGAGTGGATTAAAAAAATGCTAAGTTTTATAGACTTTAGAATCATAATGTTTGGTGAAAGACCACAATATGTGTTTTAAGAAAGAGTTTTTCACTGTAGAAATATCAGTAATAACTGAAATTAGATTGGCTGCATAACTTCTACCTATTATTGTTGCATATTATTTTTAATGCTATGAACAAGATACTATGAAAATTTAACAAATCAAAAGATTATACCTTTGTAGAAACACATTTCTGTTTGCATTTGCATCATTTCTTTGTTGTATTGTTTTAATTCCTTGCATGCAGATGTGTTATCGTCATTGCCATTTTTATCAACGCAAGTTTCCATCCACTCTTTCACGTTATCTTTTAGTGTCTCTAAGCTTTTCTTGCAGATTGATATGTCGTCATTACCATTTACTATTTGTACAGTAATAGACAGGATTATAAGAGTCCCAAGAAACGCTTTTGTTGAGCTTGATATCATCTTTATTTTCTATTTGTTAGAAGATGGACGATTATTAATTTCTTTAAAGCTTTCGTATAATCAATATAATCATATAATCAGTTTGTTTTTAACTTTTTTGGGGATGTATAAATCAAGTATTGATTTATATAACTATGTAACATTTTAATTTTCCTTCTCCAAAAAGTATTTTCACGTTTGCTTTCATAAAATTGATAATGATTGAATATTGTTGCAGTAGATTAGGCAAATTGTTCATTATAACGACTCATGCTTACAACAATTTATATAAGTAGAGTTCGCCAGCGTAGAACGTGTTTCGAATAAAGAGATGTAAGGTTTCTAGGAAGCGAAAGCATAGAAAGAAATAATATATTTCAATGTCCACTATAAGGAAATGACGCAAATTATGAAATTCACCAAGAGCAGTTTATAAAAAATTTAAAATGTGTTGATTTCTAATTTGTTTATGTTAACTCAGTTTACCAGATGAATTGGAAAAACGTATTGCCAGCAAAATTAAATGCAAAATAGTCTGTTGCTTCGTGTTTAACAAACCCCTGGCCTCTCTGTAACTACATGCCGTCTAGTTACAGAAAGAGAGGCCCTTTAAGCAAAACGTGACATTCTGCTTTACAATATCTGTCAGTCGCATAGAGAAGTTCGACTCTCATAATTACATAAGTTCTGAATTGAATGAAATTTATGAGCATTTTAACAGAGCTGCTAAAGTAAAAAAAATCTAAAAAACTAAATTAAGGAATTCTAATTTGTAGTACTAGAAGTTTTTATTTCTTCAGATATTTTGATTCAGACAATTAAATAGCACTTGCCATCTGTCAAGGTTATTCTTAAAATATGGAATAATCGTAGCTGAAGAAACAAGAGACAAGAAATGTATCATTTGTGTTGCGTGCATTTCTTGCTTTTTTAAATGACTTCTGTATTGATGCTTAGTGAGGATTTGCCCATTTCAATTTGTTGATTTATGTACCTCTCCTTCTTTATCATTTCCCTCAATCATTAATTTTCGTTTTAATGTCCAATCAAATGTTCTTTATCACACATGCATTCAAGTTTTAGTTTAGTATCATTGGTTGTGATCAATCAAGTAGTTTTTGTTTTCATCATAAGGATAAATATGATGTGATAAAAAGATGGTAAAATTTTTTTATAGAGTTTTAGACTAGTATATGGCAGCTATGTATATATGATGCATAGCTGCGCTTTGTAAATTACAGAAAAAAGGTTAAAAAAAACATACAAAAATGTTTCATAATGCTTTAGGTATTTTATAATATAAAGATTGTGTTAGATTATCTGTTAAATTACGTATAAGCATGACTATGATAAATGAAATGTATGGTCTTGATAAGGAAGTTAAATCCATAAAAGTTATTGTTCTTGCATTATGTGATAGGCTCTAAATTTTAGGTTTTCTTTATGTTTTCTTTGCTTACCATTGAAGAGGCAATTTGGCTATCAATGAAATTTCTCCTTTGAATTCTGGCGAGTTTTTTCAATCCTTCTCAAACAGCAGCTTAGACAAAATGTAACTGAAGCAGAATTTCTCTTCTCCTAAAGTGCTAGTAATATTGGCTTTTTGAATTTTGACATCAACACAAGACGAGTACTTTTCTGTGTACGGGACACAAAATTTTCATGATTTTTCATTATATTTGGGATGAAGAGCCATAATTGCAGAAATTTAGTGTCAGACAAAATATGCAACAAAAATATTGTTTCAACACATCCAAGAAATACCATTTACATTGTTAGTAAGAGACCAAATTATTTTAATTCCTTATAACAACACCGCGGAAAAAGATATGTTAATTTTGACGTTATTCAAATTGGTAAACTATTTCAAGTGTCTCTATAAACTAAAAGAAAAATGTGCACTGCAGATGTTACATTTTGTTCATAGACAAGATACTATAAAGCCAAAATTGAGTAATGTCTATAAGCAACTTTTGTTTAATTTTTCTAGTTCATTTTAAAATGGTTTACCCCGTTTTTACTTAACATAACATGAAACTTTCTAAAGTACATCAAATTCAAACAAAGCCAGTTTCTTAGGTAATTATCTTTATTCATCTCATTTCACATGATTTCAATTTCTCATTCTCGTTTTTAATAAATTAAGCTCATTTCAACGTATTTATTACCTTTCCTCTCTTAAAAACTCAAAAAATAAGGACAAAGAAGACATATTAATGGTTGAAACCCCTCCACCCCCACCCCCACCCCCCAAACATTTTCAGAGCAAAATTTACGACTTACATTTTACATGATATACATTATATTCTGTTCACAACATCTGTCAGGCGTAGAGAGAAGTTTGAATCGTATAATTATATAAGTTCTGAATTGAATAAAATATATGAGCATTTTTACAGAGCTATCAATATAAAAAAGTCTAAAGAACTAAGTAGAGGAATGCAGCTTTGCAGTAATGAAAAGTTTTTACTTCTTTAACATTTTGTTTTAGATAATTAAAAGGCATTTGCCATCTGTTGAAAAATATTCTTGCAATATTGAATGATCGTAAATGAGCAAACAAGAGACGAGAAATGTATAATTTGCTGCGCATATATTTCTTGCTCTTTAAAATGACTTCTGTATTTTTGATTGATGACGATTTGCCCCATTTCAATTTGTTCATTTATGTACTTTTCTTTCTTTATCAGTTCCCTCAATCCTAAATTTTACTTTTTATGTCCAATTAAATATTTTTTATCAAACATACATTCAAGTTTTAGATTACTATTTTGTCTGGCGTATCAATGGAAATAAGATATAATACATTTCCAGACATTCATAAATATCAATTAGTACAACTTTATCATTGGTTGTGATCAATCAATTAGTTTTTGTTTTCATCACAAGGATAAATATGATATGATAAAAAGATTTGCGAAATGGTAAAATTTTTTTATAGAGTTTTAGACTAGTCAAATTACTATATGGCAGCTATGTATATATGATGCATAGCTGCGCTTTTCTAAATTACAGAAAATGTTTAAAAAAATATACAGAAAGGTTTCATAATGCTTTAGGTATTTTTTTAAGATAAAGATTGTGTTAGATTATCTGTTGAATTAAGTATAAGCATGACTATGATAAATGAAATGTATGCTTTTGATAAGGAAGTTAAATCCATAAGAGTTATTGTTCTTGCATTATGTGATAGGCTCTGAATTTTAGGTTTTCTTTATGTTTTCTTTGCTTACCATTGAAGAGGCAATTTGGCTATCAATGAAATTTCTCCTTTGAATTCTGGCGAGTTTTTTCAATCCTTCTCAAACAGCAGCTTAGACAAAATGTAACTGAAGCAGAATTTGTCTTCTCCTAAAGTGCTAGTAATATTGGCTTTTTGAATTTTGACATCAACACAAGACGAGTACTTTTCTGTGTACGGGGACACAAAATTTTCATGATATTTCATTATATTTGGGATGAAGAGCCATAATTGCAGAAATTTAGTGTCAGACAAAATATGCAACAAAAGTATTGTTTCAACACATCCAAGAAATACCATGTACATTGTTAATAAGAGACCAAATTATTTTAATTCCTTATAACAACACCGCGGAAAAAGATATGTTAATTTTGACGTTATTCAAATTGGTCAACTATTTCAAGTGTCTCTATAAACTAAAAGAAAAATGTGCACTGCAGATGTTACATTCCGTTCATAGACAAGATACTATAAAGCCAAAATGGAGTAATGTCTATAAGCAACTTTTGTTTAAGTTTTCTAGTTCATTTTAAAATGGTTTACCCCGTTTTTACTTAACATAACATGAAACTTTCTAAAGTACATCAAATTCAAACAAAGCCAGTTTCTTAGGTAATTATCTTTATTCATCTCATTTCACATGATTTCAATTTCTCATTCTCGTTTTTAATAAATTAAGCTCATTTCAACGTATTTATTACCTTTCCTCTCTTAAAAACTCAAAAAATAAGGACAAAGAAGACATATTAATGGTTGCAACCCCTCCACCTCCACTCCCCCCCCCCAAACATATTCAGAGCAAAATTTATGACTTACATTTTACATGATATACATTATATTCTGTTAACAACATCTGTCAGTCGTAGAGAGAAGTTTGAATCGTATAATTATATAAGTTCTGAATTGAATAAAATGTACGAGCATTTTTACAGAACTATCAATATAAAAAAGTCTAAAGAACTAAATAGAGGGATGCAGCTTTGCAGTAATGAAAAGTTTTTACTTCTTCAAATATTTTGTTTCAGATAAATAAAAGGCAATTGCCATCTGTTAAAATTATTCTTGCAATATTGAATGATCGTAACAGAGCAAAAAAGAGACGAGAAATGTATCATTTGCTCTGCATATATTTCTTGCTCTTTAAAATGACTTCTGTACTGATGTTTGATGATGATTTGCCCCATTTCAATTTGTTCATTTATGTACCTCTCTTTCTTTATCATTTCCCTCAATCCTAAATTGTTGGTTTGCAACATTTTTCTTCCTCAATATTGTGTAAGTTTTGGCCTCTGGTACGAAAGAGTCCATTTAAAAAATAACCATAAGGGCAAACACCCCAAATGTCATTTCTAAAGTACAATATTGAAATCAAAAGAAAAAAGCAATTCATCCATTTGTTTAACTATTCTGTAAAATATTCTATAAAGACATAGAACATACTATATCTTACTGTGTCTTGGATATTTGAAACTTTATGGTTTAAAGAATTGGTTAAATTACATATAAAATATATCTGCCACGCTTTTTAGTTAATAAGTAGCTACAGAACCCAACAAATGATGTAACTATTTTTGCTATGTGAGGAAAGCTTTCTTTTCTTCATCAAATGCTGACTAATTATCAAATATTTGATCACAATAATGGCATAACAATCTTTTAGAAAAGAAATGTAACTTTACGAAATTTTATAAATGGCAAAATTAGATGTAGTTGTTTTTTGCTTAACGATTTCTAATTATATTTCAAACCCTCCTCAAAGTGCTAATTGATTCATTGTATCCAAATATACTCACTTAGTTAAAGAGGTTTGCCAGCTGGCATTTTGACATGTGCTACTTTGCCCTTTATGTATATTATTTGACGAACAACACTTAGCTTGTTGGATTTTGTGAATGCCATCACGATTTGTACTGTTGAACTGTCGGCGCCGAAAACCAGTTATAAATTTGTTTTTGGGCCCACAGGTTGACCATCCTTTCTCGTTAAATGATTTCTGCCAACCTGCGTTTATGCAAGACTGTAGCTTACCAACGTCTAAAATGAAAAGTTCTGTTATATTCTTTATTCAAATTAACTGATATTTTATTCACATATACTTCCTTTGTTTTTAATGTAAAGAAAAGAATCATCTTCTCCTCATATCTTCCTTATTAATATGCATGCACTTAAAGCTAATTTTTTAATGAAAATCTTGCTTTTTTCAAAATCAAAGTACAACAATGAGAGCACGCTCAATAAGGGAATTTTAAATTTGCTTTCATACATGACAATCTATAAAAAAGTCAAAACGATCCCCGATATTTCTACAAAAATATTTTAGAAAATTTTCTGTAAGAACTTGGAGTCTCGTTGATTTTATTACATCAAATCCTGGCAAAGTAAATATTTTGCATGGAACTTATTTTTTCTAAATTATTAGCTACTGTGCACATAGAAAATGAAAAGACCACCAAAAACAGTATAGTAATAGACTTTCTGTGGACTTTTATAACTCAATTAATAATAGTCCAGGGGCCGATTGTATAAAAACGTAATTAACTTTAACTATAGTTAACGCTAACTACCGTAGTTAACTCTTTAACTGTAGTTACATAGCTGCTTGACTTAACTGCGTTGCACGAAACATAGTTTGTCAAATAGTTAAGTAACTGCGTAGTTAACTTGCGTCGAAATTGCGTGGTGTGTTGTTTTCGTTAAATGACATAAAGTTTAATCAATTTATTCTTTGTAATGGCAGGCAAGTAAACTATAAAATGACTTTAAAATCAAGAAAATTCTCTTGGCTTTTGTAAAAATCTTAAAATATGGCAAACTATTGTCGTTTTTACGGATGTTGATGAGGCAAAAAGAAAATTTATTAAACGTGACTCGTGGTAACCTAGTGACATGGTAACAGGATCAAATTGTAGTATAACAGTGACATAACCTAACGGTGACATGGTAACCGGATCAAATTGTAGCATATACTTTGGATTTTTCTCAAGAAAATCGACCCTTATCTTCTGTGTATTACAGTACGATGTTGATAAATATGAGTTTCTGCAAGGACTGCTTTCTTTCTTGAACCAATTATACATAATGGACTAAAGCAAACAAAACAATGAACTCTTCTCAAATTGAGAATTTGTCTTTATAACAGCTAAGTGAAATGCTTGAAAGAAATGTGTTTGTACAGACATAAGTCACACATATCTGTAAAAGATGACAGTGACGGACTTTTTTTATTATTAGAAAACACTTCTTTGAGTCATCATAGTTAGTAGCCATGTAATCTAGCGAATGTCTTTCTTTGCTTGTGTGACATGTTATATTCACAGCTATACACAAAATACTTATTTGTTCTTAATTGTGTCTTGCAAAAAAAAAGAGTTATAAAAGCTATTGGGTATAGCTATTTGTTAATGAGCCTTAGCTATGAAACTTTTATTTATGCCTTTGTGATTTATTAACCTATTTTGTCTAAAGCTTGGAGTTTTATTCATTTTTTTTCTACTTTTTAAATCATTAAACAGTTTTTAGAGCTTTCTGCTTGTTAGAAAAGTATTGGCAGGCACGATTGCATGTACATTAAAAATAAACATTTTTACACAGGAAATTATTGATGAAATATCAACAAAACCCACTAATCGTCTATCCAGTATATTTTCTGATTGTGTAATAAACCAAGTGCAATGTATAATGTATATATATATCAAGCAACATGGACCTTCACCATGCATGCAAATGAAATGTTAATGCATTTAAAAAACTAACATAATTGTATCTCATGGAGCTGATACACAAAAGAGTAGTCATGAATAAAAACTGTTGTAAAGCTCATGTATCTATATTTATTATTATTGTCATATTTAGCACAACATTCGTACTGTAGTACCTTTCTCTTTTAACATAATCTGGGCTTATTTTCCATATAGTAACGAATTTATATGATGCATAGGATATTCAAATTAAGCAAAATGCATAGGGAAAAACCCGCAATTTCAATATTTGATAAATCCAAGGCTATAGAATTCATTGCTCGATAAGCATTCTTTCTTTTTTTTTGTCATTAAAAGAAATATACGTGTTTGTAAGACAAGGTCAGCAAGTTATGTGCATTAATCTTAAAGAAGTGACTCAATCTCAATTGAGAGTTAAATGTTATTATTATATGGCTAGCTTAACTTCCGGCAAAATGGGGCTCTTTGATTGGCTTAGAAACATTTTTGCCGGTCCATTATTTTCCCGTAATCGACCACAGTCAAAACGCGTAATTTTACAGTAAATGTACACAAACTTTCTAAAAGCAAAACACAAAATAAACGAAACAAAAAAGCATTTACGAATGTGATTCGAAGGAAAAACGTTTGATAAACAGTTTAACTATCCAGACGATACAATGTGAAACGATTTAATTTTTCATGGACGAAAACTATAAAAGTGAAAGCCAACCCGTAAAAAACAGCAAGGGTGAAAAAGAAAGCAAGCTTTGTTTCAGGTCAAACAATGCCATATAATAATCCTTCTAAAAACCTTATTTCTCGGTCTTTACTGAGAAATATCGGACCGAGGTGTTTTTGTACAGACCTCGCCCCATACGCACATTGCAGAATAATAAATGTCTCTTATGTATTTATATAAAAAGATTTCAGTGCGTTTAGCATTTTAAATTTTTTAAAAAACTTTTAGGACGAATTGCAAATTATCGCTCTATTTATTATTTATCCTTAATTATATCAATACTTATAATGCCTCTTCGAATGCACCTGTCATTAACAAAACTGTACAGTTAGCTAGTTTTAAGAGATGAAAATTATCACAATTTGTAGGGATTACGAGCCATGTCTGTGTGGTGAAAGGATTTTGGGTTACTATTATCCCTATTTTAAGGTTAATTCAAAATGAAAATATATTAGGTTATTGTATATAACATAATCATAATAATAATTAAAATATAATAATAATAATTCTAACTAACTTTATATCTTAGAAGCGCTTTTGATGAAACGCAATATGCCACAACTTAATAGTGGTCTCAAAGCCTGTAAGAAATTATCTCTATTTTAAATGAAAGTATACTCC